TTAATTAATACATAGACAGAAAAGAGACTTAGAGAAGAAGCTGAGCTTTGGCCTGATCAGTGCCGCTCTGCAGGCAAAGACCCCAGACCTTCAGCTTGCCACACCTTTATTCAGAGCATCAGCAGAAACAGAAGTAGCAATTGACTCAGAGCGAGCAGCGAGGACCCTAAAACAGTGAGGAACTCTGCAGATAAAGATTTGGTTCCTCCCAGGATGTCTCTGGCTGGGCTGGTGTGGTCCTGCCCTGGAGCATCACAGCATCATGGGACCATTGAGGTCTTGAGTGTGACTGGAGGTGAAAATGGAGTTATATCTGGTCTTGCTGTAGCCAGAAAAACTAGGCCCTAATCATAATGTAATTATGAAATGATTTTTCCCCCAAATCATGTAGAATTGCTCCCAACACAGGGAGGCAGGGCCTGGGCCTAGGCAGGAGACGGTGGAAACCCGGACAGACTAACCTGGACGACTGCTCGGCCTCAGGCTCTCTCCAAAGCCGATGGCTCATACACTTTCCCACTTAAACTCTAATTTGGAAGAATGTATTTCTTTCTTTGGAACCTTTACACAGGAAAATAATACAAATAGGAATATCAATTTTGGAAGTTGTGAACTTCCTCCAGGGCTTGTAAGGGCTAACAACATTTACTTAATACCTGTGTGTTTTAAATCAGTGCAGTGAGGTAGGAATTGCGCTTTTCTAGCCTGGCCTAGCCTTAGAGGATTTCAGAAAGTTCCCAGGTGCACAGTTGGAAAGTGGCAGGACAGGGCTCCCTGTTCCAGAGTCCAGGATGCAGCCGCCTGCACAGGGCGATCTGCGATCACTACCACCCGAGTGTGGCCCTACAGGGACTTGCTGTCTAGGGCAGGGAGACAGAGGCGGGATGTTGACATTGCTAGGCACATGGTTGTCTGCCGTGGGGTGAGGAAGCAGAAAGCTACCGTCCTGGGCATTTGGGACATTTTGAGTAGCACCCCTGGTTTCTACCCATTAGATGCCAGAAGCACCTTCTCCATCAACTGTGACAACCAAAAATGTCCCTGACAGAGGACAGGAAGGGTGATGTGGAGGCACAGTCAGCTGAGAGCCCCTGACATGGAGCATATGTGAGTAGAGACAGACCTGCACAGTTTTCTACAAAGCCAGGCTCTGCCTTATTTCTTGCCACAAGTCTTTTGAACTTAGGATGATACAAACTTTAACAACACTCAGCTCTGTGCTTTTACACGTTGCAGGAAGTTGAAATCAGGGAACATGATTTTGAGTAAAGAGAGAGACACATAAAAGGGGAGAAAGATTATTTTATTATACCTAATATCAAGTTCCCAGAGAATCACCCATGCTTCAGAAAGCCGAACCTAGCAAGGACCTAGCCTCCCTCAAGCTTCCCCTCAGTTTTTCCTGTGTGATGTCGGTCCTTCAGTTCCTGAGAGCATGCAAATAACTGAGTTTAACACCCATGCCTCCTAAAAGTCCACTAGGCAAGGATGTGTCTGCCTGATTCATCTTCGCATAACCCGAGTCTAGCCTGCTGCCTGACATGGAGCAGCTACTCAATAAACAACATTGAATTAATTTTTGTGGATTAATCCTTTCATATCTTTCAAAACTCATCATCGGAGCAATGAATGCCAACACCTAAGTGTGTACACTCAGGGATCTTCACGCAGAGAGTATTCACACAGAAGATGGGGGAAGATCCTACCTGATGCAAAACTGGGTAATTTTAGCTCTAACCTGATGGCCATGTCCTCAGTTTGTGCCAACCTCATTTCTTCTATTTTAGAAATAATAGTCATCAGTTCCTGTAATCAAAGGTCTCCCTGTAAATTTAGTGATTTGGGGTATTGGATGTTTTTTGAAATAACACCTGCAGAACAATCATTAGAACCTGATTAATTCTGTCTGACTCATGGAAAAAACATAAATACATCTTCTAAAGAGTGGCAGGGGTTTAAGGGTGAATAATTTTCTGACTATTCCAGAAGGGGTTGCATTGCTAACTGTGTGTGAGTGCAAGTGCCAGAAGAGGTTGTGTGTGTGCACGTGCTAAGTGTCCTTTAAATTCGCATGCACCTGTGTGTGTGTGGTGTGCACATTTGTGTTTATGTGTGTGCATGTGTTTATATTTATGAAAGTCTGACTAGATTCTTGCAGCTAAAGGTCCAGAAGCTCTTGGCGTTCTGCAGGTGGATCCCGGTTGTAGGGTTCCCTTAAATCACCAGAGCAGATGTGACAGATATGATTTATATCTCTGCCTTGAGTCCCTTGAGAAAGCCCCCCAAATTAGGGATCAAGGTATAAAAGTATGATGGAAATGAAGAGTCTCAGGGCTCCTCTGTCCTTAGGGCATGAAGCCATCACCCAGCAAGTGAAGGTCAAGGTGCCCATTGAGGGTTTCTCCCTGGGACCCAAGGACTGGGAGCATGGACAGAGCACCCACCATCACAGTTAATCCTGACGGTTAACTTGATTGGCAAAGTGCCTGGGCAGTATGGAAGCACCCTGCTGGGCATGTCATGAGTGTTTCTGGAGACGACTGGATCACAAGGGCTCCAATTCACCAGGGAACTGCTCCACTGGTGAGACCATACTTGGTGGCATTATTGCAGGTGAAGGAAGCAGCAGCTGTTGGAGGAGTGGGTGGTGGGGCTGACAGGTCAGGGCCATGTCCGGTCCCCAGTGCACTCCTCTTGGGCTCTTCCCCCAGCTCATGCTTCCTGGCAGCTGTGAGGTGAGCAACTGTGCCTGTCACGCCTTCTGCTATGATGTTTCTGCCCCTCCATGGCCCAGAAGCAGCAGAGCCACGTCACCATGGCCTGAAGTCTTTGAAGTCATGAGCCAAAAGAAGCCGTCCCTCTTTAAAGCTGATTTATGTTGGGCTTGAGTCACAGTAATGTAGGGCTAAGGTCCAGATGACAGTGAAGTCCCTTCCCAAATCTGCAGGCCACCCCACGGCAGGGCTGAATGTCCACAGACAGCACGCCAGCACGTACTCCTGGCCAGCTGTCTGATGGGGTGGGACCCTATACACTGCACGGCCCTGCTGGGGACTCACAGAACCCACTGACACCTGCAGCTCAGAGAAATTCTGCAAGAAAAATGTGAAGCTGTTTAATTTTGCGCAAAGCAGAGGTTTCCAAATTTATTTTTCTCTGACGACCCCTTTGCTGTACAGAAATTTCTCTACCCTTGTGAGTCCCCAGTGTCCACAAAGCATCTTTAGGGAAGTACAGATCCAGGGCTGTGACCAGATGACAGCCACCATGCTTGGGGAAGAACATTGTCAGGTAGGACAACCCAGATCCTATTACATTTTCCTGTATTGGCTCCAGAGTCACTGTCTCCAATAACCGATCCAAATGCTGGTTACAGATTGGCTCTCACCTGAACCCATCCACATGGCACCTTCCTTTTGGACTTCAGCCTCCTGCACTGTGGGGCATGGACCTTCAGTGTGCAAATGTGATCAGTGTGAACTGCTAGCTATTCAAGGTGACCGCATGAGTGTGCAAAAATTCTGGGCCGTGCACATAAGCTCCAAGTGTTTTTCTGCATGTGTGCTTTGTTTTGCCAAATAGTTGATGTACACACACACACACACACACACACACACACACACACAGATTGCAGACTCTGAGCCACATCACCACTTTCTAAGTCCAAAACACTTGGCAAGTTGATAGAACTTTCTTAGTTTCCTCTCCAGGAAATGGAGGGAGTAGTAGTTGTGGCTCCCTCCTGAGGGCATTAGTGAGGGTAATGGAATTCATTCACATGAGGCTCTAAGAACAAAGCAAGGCCTCTTGGCCCCCATCCAGCTTGACCCACAAGCCTGTGGCCCTTGGGTGTCTGGGGGAGGAAGCCTGCCCACCACCCACAGAGGCTACTTCTGATGTCTGTCTCCACCACTGTAATTCTACCAAATCAGGAGAAAAATGCCAGACACTGTCATTTCTCATGGATGTATTTTGCAGAGGTTTTCCTTAACCATGTCACTATGTGCCAAGAATTTCATCGATGCTCTTAATGGAGAAGCTTCCAGGCCAGTTGGCTGCCAAGTTCAGCTTCTCCTGCCCCAAGGAGCCCGACACTGCAGGTCAGAAGGGAATAAAACTCTGACTGTCTGAGGGCTGCATAACCGCACACAGATTCATCTTAATTAAGACAAATTCAGTCTCAATCAGAACACCACTTCTTTATCCATTGCGAACAATTTAGAAAAGAAGCATATTTTTAAAATCACCAAATGGAGGCTGCATGAAACAAGGATACTGCTGAAGCATATGATCCACTCCGACCTTGGGTACGATTAATAAAAGTTGGCGATAATCAGGGACATTTGCTGGGATAATCACATCTAGTCACACTGGAGCAATGTCACGGGTTTAATTTACCTGGAGTGCTTTTGCATACCCAACTTGAACAAAAGGTGCAAGGTTCATTGCTGGTCTCAGAACTGAGATTATTATCCCCATGTAGGGGCAGCCTCCCCTCAATCGGGGCCTCTTATGCTTCAACAATGCATGCTTTGTTCCTCTGTCAAGTGAGTTAATATCTGACAAAATGAATATGGGAAATTAGGCCATCGCCTTGAGCCTTTAACACCACACAATGCCACTGTTCTGCATTCCTGATCCCCACCCAACTTGGTATGGTGCTAGCTTGCATTTCCATGCCGGGCAGGATGTCTCTTCCCTAGGGCAAGGGCATCAGTGTGTCCAGCTGGGCCTTCCCACTCTGCAACCCCCAAGGAGCGGGCCACTGTGGGCTTCAGCTGTCCAAGAAAGGCACTTCTGATTATTCAGTGTCAGAGACAGATTCCAGTGGCCCCTGGAGTATCCAGGCTGCCCCTCACCCCTGTACACTGCCCCACACCCCCTACACCACTCTCTGGAGGGGCAGCATTTGCCTACCAGCTGGGAGCCTTGATTTACACAGTGCCCAGAGAGCAGCAGTGTGGGGAGCAGCTCGCAGTGTGCAGTTAAGTCCGTCTCCATGACACAAGAGCATCCCAGAATGGAAAATAGCAGTGTTTATAAAACAGGCTCAGCATCAACCAAGTCTGCTACCAGAGTTTGATTTCCCCCGGAAAGGAGGCTTCGCTGACTTGAAAGTTGTAAAGATGCATTCCCCAAGGCAGGGCATGGAACAGGCTATTTATCCTTTCTTCCTTTACTTGAGCATTTCTTCACTGACTGGGGGAATTGACACTAATCTCCTCTCAGAGCAGCTGACAGACACATCTGATTCCACCTGGAAAAAAGCAAATGAAACAGACACTCCTTTCCAGAAGAGAGCTAGTGCTTAGAGGCAATTTGAGCGAGGTACTTGGTCTTCCTCACTCTCACCTCCTTCTGGGAAATGCCCTGAGTTACCTGAGCCAGGAGCGGCCTTTCCCTCCCATCTGCTTCCTGAACTCAGGGTGGGCAATCTGCCAAAGCTTTCCCATGGAGATCGGGCAGAAACAGGCCCGTGGCCAAGCCAGAGTCACTGAGGAGGTTAGACCTCAGGGCTCCTTCTGGAGTTGACATTTTTAGACCTTTCTTTCAGGGGAGGAAACAAGTGCTACGAGGTTACATTGGTCTGTCCTGAAATAGCGAAGGGAATGAATTTGGGAATGGAGCAGTTGACACTTGCATGGCTTCAGCCTCCTTAAACTTCTGGTCTAGAAGTGATGCGGTGAATTTTCTCATTACTATTTCCAAACTATAGGAGCCTTCTTTACTCACAGCACAAATTAGCAGAGTCTTGCCTATGCCCTAGGTAGCACTGGGCACTGGAAGCACAGTGGTGAACAGAGTCTTTGTTTCCAGGGAGGACTGATGAGAAGACAGCACTGTCAGGGTACTGAATGCGTGTCTGTGTGGACCACTTCAGCAAAGAGACCACCAGTGTGCCATGGTGGGAGACACACGCTTCTGGGAGAGCTCAAGGAGCAGCTCATAGCCTCAGGGGCAGACGGGCAGAAATGCTTTCCCAGAGAAGGGGATGCCCTTGTTGACCTGTGACAAACAAGGCTGAGAAAGATAGAGGGGGCGTTAGTCAGAGGGAACGGCTTGATCGGGAGGTCTGAAAATGAGAATCTGACCCCAACCTCAGGAACAAGCCAGCTCTGCATGGAAAACGTGCAGATTGGTGAGCAATGTGGCCAAGCGTGGACCAAACCAGCAGACACCCAGGCAGGTGTGGCAAGCTGCACTCCAGCCCGGGAACAAGGAGCTGGCCCTGCAGATAGGTCCCCAGTGTTTCCGTGCCACTCGAGCTGCCGGGGGCTGCAGGCCAGGGGCAGGCAGCTAGGGTGGGTGCAATTGACATTGCACGTGACACTGACTGTGAATCACGTAGCTTTTATCAAACTTTAGCCTCTCAAAATGTTCATCATTTATTTACAGTCAAATGTGGGGGTTTTTTTCAGTTCGATCCTTAAAACATGCTTCGATATCTATGTAAAACTCACGCATCTGGGACCCCTCGCAGCAGACCAGCTAGGACGCTGTGCAAGGGAAGTGGTGGTGGTCAGATTCAGCTCAGCAGCTGGGGTGCAGATGCAGAGCAGATCCTAACAGTTTTAGGGGATGGAGCCAACTAGACATGGTGTTTGTGAGTACATGGGTTATATCATGGAGACCAAAGAGACAAACTAATAATTCACACAGCAACTTGGATGGATTTCAAGAACATTGTGTTGAGTGGGAAAAACAAAGAACTAGCCCCAAAAGGTCACACACTAGATGCCTGAGTTTATAAAACATTATCAAGATAATAAAATTGATATACACGGTAGGTGTGGGACAGAAGTTAGGAGTGACTGAGCTGATGGCCAGGCACCTAGTGCTGGTAAAGCATTTCATGAGATGGAGCAGCAGGCCAGAGAGTGTTCAGGTGTCTATTTGCATATTCACCCCTATATGGAGTGCCCCCAAGATAGTATTATCTCTCTGTTTCTGTGACATAAGCATCTAAACACAATTTGGCTGGGCAAAGGGTCTTGATGTGGGCTCGTTCATGATGTCATAGTAAACCATCAGCCAGGGCTATGGTCACATCAAAGGTCAGTGTCAGCTGGGCACATGACTTTAAGCTCACTCACATGTCTATTGGGTCTCAAGAGATGCTCCTCTGAAGTCATTCACATCCTAACCTCATGGGTACCCCACAAACTGGCCCACTGTCCTCAAGATAAGGCACCTGGGTATGAAAGGCAGACAGATAAACAGAAACAGAGACCGGGATAAAGAGACAGGGGAGCCTGACAGAGCCAGAGACAGTGGCTTCCTTTGGTGTGTCCTTCAGAGTTGGTGTGTTGGAAACTCAGTCCCCAGTGAGTGCCATTGAGAGTGGGGGCCTTGCAGAAGTGACCAAGGTCAGCGGAGCTCTGCCTCCATGAGTGGGTCAATGCCATTATCGCCGGAGAGGGCTCCTGATAAAAAGATAAGCTTAGCCTCTCTGCACTCCTTCCCTCTCTTTGTCTGTGCACACTTTGGCCTGCCTACCTTCTGCCACGGGAGATGCAGGAAGAAGGTCCTCGACAGACACTGGCCTACTGAGTTTGGATATCCTGACCTCCAGAACTATAAGAAATACATTTATGTTCTTAATAAATTATCCGGTCATCTTAGATATCCTGTTGTAGCTGCACAAAGTGGATGAAAGACAACAGTGAGGAGGAAGGAAGCCAAAGCCACTTTGTGATCTAAATTTGGAAGAGGTGTCCTAGTCCCTGGCTGTACTCCTGGCTTGAGCCCAGGCTCCAGGCCCTGTGTGTCCTGGAGAGCTCCTGCTGATGCACAGGTGCTAATCTTGGGCAGTGAGGATCATCGGGGACCCTCTTAGAGATCGCCTGTCCTCCACACAGAGGAGATATGGCACAGGGTGGTCTTCCACCTACAGAATCCAGCACTGCCAGAGAGTTTAAGAAGTGGCCTCTGCTGGGTACAAACAGCAACCATAATCACAAAGTAGTTTCCCCTTTCTTCCCTTTTCTCAGCCACTTTGCTTTTCTCCTCTTTTTCCCCCTTCTCCAGTTCAAACCTGAATGTGTGAAATTCTTCCTAGAGTCAGCATAAAGTGCCAGCTGCTGACTGATTAAACTGAATCAGCTACTCCTGAAAAAATAAAACCCCGAAGGTCAGCATTCCCACCCACAGTGCAGGAAGCAGAGGTGGCTGTGCCCATGCTGAGCGCTGACCACACCTTTCCTCCCCTGCCTCCCATGGGGCAGGAATCCCAAAGGCTCCCCTGGGAAATGGCAGACTGCCAGCAGAAGAAGCAAAAGTAAAGCAGGAAGACCAGACTCGGGCAGAGGGCAGAGAAAACTTAAAGTTAGTCAAGCCCTGAAAATGCCTGGCCAGCCCTGCAGAGCTGGTGTACCCCCGTCTCCCCCACGTGGAAATGGGGCCTAAAAGGAAACAGTTCTCTGAGACATTCAGAGCCTTGGCTCACTTTTAAGCAAATGACATCAGGAAATCCAAAACTGTTGAAAGGAGTGACTGACTATCCAGTGAAACTCAGAGTGGCAGTGAGCTCTCAGGCCTGGCACCCACAGTTACTGGAATGTGGAGAGGAAGGCCCTCCCCATGGAGACTGGACACACATTGGAAACGCCAGGCCAGCCCCATTCCTGGTTCCTTTCATGCTGAGTTCTGGGCTCCTTGCTCAGGGGGATCTGAAGCAGGGAGATTCAGTGTCCAGCAGCAAGATGCTTCCAGGGCGCCTCACAGGATAGCCTGGGCTTGTGGAACTCCTGGATTCAACTTTTTACTGCTACAAAAGGCCGAAGGGTTCCCATGGGGGTGCTGTCCCATGTGCTGGCTGTGGTTAGGAAGGACTGACCCTTCTGAAGGGAGCACTTACTGGTGAAGCTAGCCAGCCATGCGGCAATAGGCTGGCTCGGTACAGCTGTTCAGCCTGCTGCAGAATTGCTGTCCGGGATGTTAAGGAGTAGACGAACTTGTACTTGTGGGGTCACCCACAAGCATGCAGTGTCCACTTTGCTGAAAGGCAGGAGAGCCGGGCTTGGCATGGAGCTGTGGTGCGTGGCTAATGCAACCAGCTTAGAACAAAGCCTAGTGTGTCACTGGTCCTGAGGGCAATGCCCTGGAACCAGTGTAACTGAGCGAGCATCCCCTCTTTGACCAGATTCCAGCAAAGAAGCAGGGATTCTTCTCTGGGTTCTGAAAAGTGCATCGGATTTTCTTAAATGGCTGAAAAAAAAAAATGAAGCAGCTGCAAATTCCCCCAAGCAGTTCTCTGTGGATGGCTACACATGAGAAACCAAATGATGATAATCTTATTTTCTGAGCTACATCATTAGCAGAGATATTTCTTAAATTTTATCTTTTAACTTAAATAGTTATTTTGTGGCCATCAAAGGCTTCTCAAGCACTTCTTAGAGATGGATTTTGTCTCAGAACAGAATTTCATGCTTCATTATCTCGCAATGATTGTGACTTTTAGGTGATCATTATTCACTTTCTTTTTTTTTCTAATGGGGGCACTGGGGAGAAAGCAACACTGTGAAAACACTGTGTTGTTTCCATTATGGGCAGCTCGAGAGGAAGTGTTCCCAAGGATGGAGCCATCCCATTTCTGAAGCTGGTAATGAAAGCATTGTTAAACAAAGGTAGAAATTAAAAATTCACAATATGCTTTACATAATTAGTGTTTTAAACTTGTATGATTTAAGCACCATTTTGAAGAATGATTTGCCGTACTGTAATTCCCACCATAAATCTCGCCTGTAATATATACATTAAAGCGCTCTGAGATTGCTCTGGAATGTGAATAACTAAGTGCTGATGAATAATTTTGAATAATGTGACTGCTTTCACCACTGAGTGGAAAATTAAGATTGTGGCATTGCTCCATTTAGAAATGATTGGTTTGTGCGAGTGAAAGTAACAGCTGTTTGGCCTCCTGGGAATGATGGCACTTCCAAAGCAGAGCAGAAACTGAGACTCCACCGGTTTTTCATGCTAAAATGTCCCTACTGCTTAAAAATGTTTTTTCTTCCAGTTGGTTGTCTGGAATGACCATGTAACCTTTAATCATGATATATCAACTTGAATAGCTTAAGAAATGTCTACCAGGTTAGGGAGGACTTGTAGTCTGGATGGAACAATAAAAGGAAAGAAGTAAGGATGAAGACTTTATGAAGACTTCTAGCTGTCGTCATCACATTTGGATATCGTCCCATTTCCTTCCCTTTGGCACAGACTCCCAACAGCAGCTCCATGGTGAGCTTCCTTGATCCGTCTTGTCCTGTGCTCCTTGGACTGAGCAGCCACAGGACCCTTTGGTTCTCCGTCATGCAGACTGCCACTGTGGCCTCTGCTGCTTCTGATCCTCTAAGCTTGCCTGATAAATCTTCTTCCGTAATTATACACACATCTTCTATTGATTCTGTTCCTCTAGAGAACTCCAACTAACTCAGACCAGTTCCTTGGGAAAGGTCCATTAAAAAAATCCCATCTGTGGAAGGTGTGCTGGTTCATTGCCTCAACTCCTTAATGACATAGTCTAGCACAGGATCATGGGGCATGAGCACCAAAGCTAGCAGATATCGATAGGTAGTCCCAGGAATGCTCCACTCTGGTCAGAACATACTGTTTTTTCAGAACTTAGGAATATCCCAGGACCTAAGATTTTCCATGCTGAAACCTGAAGAGTCAAAGGCAAACCAGGACTACTGGTCAACACGAATGCTCCTGTAGCTGCTGAGGATAATGGCATGGTAGAGATCCCAACGCCATTACCAGAGACAACTGGATGGAAGACTTATACAGACCTGCTAGGGGCCTGCTCTGTTCTAAGCATTTACAAATGTTACTGCTCCAGCTCCATGTAGTAGGTATTGTTCACACTTGACCAGTGAGTAAAATGAGGTTCGGGTAATTAAGTAACTTTTCCAGAGTCACTCAATTGATAACTAAAGGAGTTTATTAGACACCTGACTGACTGAGTTTCAAGTTAAGACTCCTGGCCATGATGTTAATATTAAAGCCTGCAGGAACAATCAGGTTTCCTTGGTATTCAATATGAATCTCACACTCTTCACAGAATTTGACATATTTACATTTTTAACCTCCACAAATGTACAAGGTGAGTAGCTGTACTAGATTGTAAAAGGAGAAACTGAGATTATATAAGAAGAAGTATCCTGCCAAGGCCACATAACTGTCAGTGAACAAAGTCAAGATTAGAATCCACACCAGATTGCCTCTAACCTAATACCTCTTCCCATATTACCCTTCCTGAAACCACCTGAGCTCTCATAACTCAGAGAATAGCTGTACCTGACATCTTCACTGCTGTCCCTCCCCTTTTCTGACCTCCCTGCATCTGGGTATCCTTGCCTTCTGTTTCACGTGCTGCTGCAGCAAGGTCACAATGGTCTCCTGCTCATAAACCTCATGATCAACTCCATACCTCACACACTGAAGATACCTCACTCCCTGCTCTCTAGTTCTCTCCTCCATGTGGATCATACCCTCTCACTCACAGCTTTCCTTTTGTCCCACCTAGGTTGCCTCCAGATGGCTACAGACACCACCTCCATGTTCCAGCTGCCTCCTGGGACCAGATCCTCACTGCCTGTGATGGCCCCACCCAGGCTCCACTGACTCAAACACCACACATGTGATTCAGTGCTTTCTCCATGCCAGATACTCTTCTGTGTGCTACAAATACACCAGAGAATAAAACAAACACAATTTCCCACAAACAAATAAACATTTTTCTCTGGTGGGAAAGACAATTAGCAATGCAAATCACTAAATTATATAATACATAAGAACATGATAAGCGATGCTCAAAATTTACCTCGAGTGTGGAAAGGAGGTGCTGGGCAGGTGCAGGATGCAATTTTTTTTTCAGGACCTTGTGCTTGCAAAGCAGGAGCGGTGCCACTGAGCCACATCCCCAGCTCCCAGGATGCAATTGTGAAGAAACCCCAGCAAGAAGGCTCCTCTCAGGAAGCCCAAAAGCAAGCTGGGGAGCTGCACGGGGCTGCTTCACAGTGTACTACAGGGGCGAGTGGCCCGAACCTGCGGGGCTGGAGCGCAAGGGGAAAGGACGGAGTCAGGGGACAAAGGCCCAGTGGTCCCCAAGATCCATTCAAAGGGCCTCGGAGATCAGAGTGGGAACCGGGACTTCTGTGCTGGGCAGGATGCGAATCCCTGGAAAGGCTCCGAATAGACTAGGACATGATTCTCTGTGATACTGAGAGAAAGCACTTGAGGCTGGAGAGACAGAGTGTGTGGAGAGAGCAGGGCAGACGCAGGCAGCCCAGTAAGGATGCCCCTGGAAGGATCCAGTGAGAGACAATGTCTGGCCCAGGGCTCAGGGACAGTGCTGAGCGGGGCAGCACTAGAATTCTGAATGGACAGAGGGTCCAGTGGCAGCAGTTCAGGCGAAAAGGTGCTTGTGGGAGTTTGGGTGCATCTCCATCTGGGAATGGCCCAGCCTGCATTCTGATCTTCCTAACCAGGCTGTTTCTCTCCTCAGGAAGTGTTGCCTCTGCCCCAGCTGCTCAAGCCAAATGCTTGAGGTCATCTCACCTGCTGTTTGGCTTTCATGCACGCAGAGGGGAAATGCGCATTAATCTAGATCAGTGTCACAGATATATTCTGAAAACAAAGCAAACTGCAGAACAATATATGAAGTATGCTTCCCTCTATATCAAAAGAAAAAATGGTGGTTTAGGGATACATACATATGTGTGTAAGAAACAGTAAGAAACTTGCAGAAATAACCAACTTAGAACTCTGGGGAAAGTAGAGAAAGAAGTGACACTGGTGACCTCTGAGATGCCAGCCTGCCGGTACTCTGACCAGGGGAGAACCCACTCTCTGTCATATGCCAGCCCCTCACTCAGTACACACACTCTGTAACGCATGTGAAACAGTCCATAGCATCACAAGGAAAGAGGCACACTGGGAATGGGAAGTATCATCTAAAGCAGGCTTGTCAAAGGCACATATGTAATGGAGGTAGTTTACAACTGTTGTGTACATGCATTATGTAAGCGACACTGTGATAAATACACAAGCATTTCTATCAAGATATATAAAAAACTAACATCACCATGAACTAAAAATATTACTTCTAGGGAGTGCAAATAGAAATATAGGGAGTAGAGAAAACCCTAATTTACCCCTAAAGGGTAGTTTAGATAATTTCCAAAAGGGGAAGGTAGGATTTTTTCTGCTTCCCCCACTTCTATTTCACTATATTCTGTATTCTACCTTTAAAATTCATATATATAAAATATATTCTTTGCATGGTAACATCTACATTATAAAACCATATCTGTGTATATACTTCTATAATCTGTATTCTCTTTATATTCTGTAATCACTGTAAAAACCATATATCTATGTATACCTCCATATTCCATATTTGCTCTTGTAAAAACCACATCTGTGTGTATTTCTATTTTCTATATTCTCTAGACATTTTACTTAAAACCGCACTTAACCACTTAAAACCATAAATGTCCCTATTAGCATTACTAAATAGTGGTTAAAAGTCAAAAGCCGTATGGCAGACCTTTATACTTTGGATAAATAATCACACAGAAAGGAAAAGGGTTGGGAATCTTTGAGCCTAAATTCATAATAGTAGTAACCTACAAGTCACCTGTGTTGGGGTAGCGCCCCAGGAGCACCCCAGCAGGTTCCCTGCTCCCTGCCAGGGTGGAACAGCCCCCCAGCCCATGGCTTGCTTGTGGCATCCTGGGAATAGCGTGGGTGCAGCTGCTGCACCGCTCTGCCCTGCTGGCTCCTCGCCAGGGCAGAATCAGGGCTGTCAGGGCCTCTTTCCATCCAGGCCCTGGGAAGCCCTCCGCGATCGGCTACCTACGGCACTCAAACGGCACGGCGTGAGGGACAAGACCTCAGGCCAAAAGGAATTGACTTCACTAATTTGTTCCAAAGGGGGGTGGGGAAGTTAGAGTGGTTATTTCAGATTACGGATGTCATGAATACAAATAGAAAAGTGAACTGCCAGCATCTTCACATTGTAAAGTCTGGCGTGCTTGGCTGACTGGAAAACAGAAGTAGATTTCAAACCCAGACCAGCCCTGCCAATTGCTCGCTCTCTGCCAGCCAGCCAGCGTATTAATATGGCTTCGACTTTTTTTTACAAGGTTTTTGTTTGTGCACGGGGATAGGGATGCACCAGAGAAAGAAGATTATTGGAGGAATGGGTGGGTCACTGCAGGAAGCATCAGATAATATACTGCTTTAATATTTAATATTTAATGTTTCCTACCTCTCAGAGAGAGCTGCTTAACTTTACTAATCCTCAATTTTTAAAACTTTTCTAAATGTCTATTGGCACATCCAGAAGGGTGAGGATGATAACATTTAAACAAAATAAAACAAATCATTTTGTAATTTCTTGCTGCTCTCAAGGCCTTTCTAGGGGGCTGGACTAATTGCATCCCATAGCAGCCTAAAAGTCCTGGCCTTGAAGTGCTCACTGAAGACCCAGACTCGGCTGTGAGAACTGCACAGACCCTCCACAGGGCAGGGACGTGGGCCTCGGAGCAGAGGTGGCCGTCTGCCCTCAGCATGCGCAGCCTGCCCAGAGCCTCAGCAGCAGCCTTCTCGGCCCACTTTACAGACGACACAGGAAGGACAGCTGGGAAGCCGACCAGGTCCCGGGCTCGGCTCCATCGGGCCCTCCCCAACTGGGATCCAACTCAGGCCACACTGTGCTCTCCTCACAAGTCTATCTCAACTGTTATGGGCTCCAGGAGCCTCAGTTTTTCTGCACGGAACATTGCAGGAATGGCTCAGATTGGTAGTAAGAGCCACACACAGAGCGACAGATTCCTTCAGACATCGCTGTTTCTCTCTCCCTCCATTTACAGTTTTACCGCCCCTCCTGGGGCTCAGAGGATGAGTAAGCTGTCATCTCCCTGTTTCTCAGCCGGTGCTCCCAGCTGTGTCCCAAGCCATGCCCTCTCCTCCCCTCTAAGTCTGACCTGGCTCCAAGCCAGGCCGCTCCACTCCTGGACCAAATGCAACCTTGCATCAGTCTCCTTCCATCCACACCTGTCCCTCCCACTCTGCTTTAGATGTCAGTCAGATCTGGTTGGCAGAATCATGTCCCCTGCGAAGATGACCACGGCCCACTCCCTGGCACCTGTGGATATGTTGGGTCACATGGCAGAAGGACAGGAGGTTGGCCATGGAATGAAGAGTGCCAGCCAGCCAGTCTTGACATGTGGAGATTGTCTTGGGTTACCCAAGTGGGCCCAATGTACTCAAGTACCAGGATCCCTAAAGGATGGGCAAGGACCAGAAAGATGGCAGAGTAGAAGGACTAGGCACGCTCCTAATGGCTGTGAAGGAAGAGCACAGGGAGCTAAGAAATGAGGTGGCCCCCAGCAGTTGGAAGAGGCTTCCCAGAGCTCTGCAGACTCCTTGATTTCACCCCGAGACCATGTTGGGCCTCTGAACGGTGAGAGAATGAACTTGTGTTGGTTTGAGCAGCAAAATTTGTGGTCCTTTGTTACACCAGATGGAGTCAGCTCCCTGCCCAAATGCCCCAACATCTCTCCAGCACTGTCAGTTGGAAACTTAAGTGCTTGCCACCCCCTGCCCAAGAGCAGGTGTGTGCTGAGCCCATTGAGCTGAAAACCAAGCCCTGTGCATCCTTCCTCCCAGCTCAGTTCCCAGCTCTATAATGATTTCTTTTATCTTTTTTGCTCAGCAAATGCAAAGTCCCAGGCTCATGATGACTCTGGAGGCTGCTCAGCTGCTGCACATGCCGCTCCCAGTTTTCTCCTGATGGGGTTTCTCCTCTGCCAGAGCCATCCAGTCGGCCCGAGAGGCCGGGGCCCCCGTCTGTCTCGTCAGCACTTGGTTTTCAGGGCCCAGAACAAAGCAAGCCATGTCGCAAGAGATCAGTAAATATTTGTGGAAAGGATTACTGAATTTATTTTCTAAAAGCTGCCAAGCAGGCACCACGCTATGAATGAAAAGATCCAAACAGCATGTTCCTGTCCTTGGGCGCTCACACCTACGGAAAGGTCTTTCTCCACATAGTGTGGTGCTCACCGCGCCTCAGGTATGGGGGCGGCTGCAGCCAGGACTGGGAGCCTGGTGTCCACGTGACTCTGCCACCACAGACCGAGCGCACTGAAGCTTCAGGCATCACCCATCCTAGCACAGAGCAGAGTCCGGTCCCTAGAAGGCCTTGGTGCCAGATGCAAGCAGACCCGGCAGATAGAAGGGTGTGGACAGGGGACAGGGTGGGGTTTTTCATGTCTACTTGGACATTCTGGACAGAGACCCAGCAAGAGCATGAGCAGCAAACTG